TTTGCATTACTGACACACTATTTTCCTAATTAATGCTGTACAGTTGCTTTGACACCATCTGTATTGTTAAAAGCGCTATTTAAATAAACGTGACTTGACTTGACTTGGATCACCAGCTTCCTGACAGACAGGCAGCAGCTTGTGAGGCTGGGCAAACTCACATCCAGGACTATCACCATCAGCACTTGGTGCCCCTCAGGGTTGTGTTCTCTCCCCACTGCTCTTCTCCCTCTACACGAATGACTGCACTTCAAAGGACCCCTCTGTCGAGCTCCTGAAGTTTGCGGATGACACTACAGTCATCAGCCTTATCAAGGATAGAGACGAGTCTGCTTACAGACAGGAGGTAAAAGAGCTGGCTGTCTGGTGCAGTCAAAATAACCTGGAGCTCAACACGCTCAAAACGGTGGTGATGATCGTGGACTTCAGGAGAAACCCCCCAGCACTCTCCCAACTCACCATCATGAACAGCACTGTGGCTGCAGTAGAGTCATTCAGATTCCTGGGCACTGACTATCTCTCAGGACCTGAAGTGGGACACTCACATCGACTCCATTGTAAAAAAGGCCCAGCAGAGGTTGTACTTCCTTCGCCAGCTGAGGAAATTCAACCTGCCATAGGAGCTGCTAAAACAGTTATATTCTGCTATCATTGAGTCTGTCCTGTGTTAATCTATAACTGTCTGGTTTGGTTCAGCTACCAAATCAGACATCAAGAGACTACAGTGGACAGTCAGGACTGCTGAGAGGATTATCGGTGCCCCTCTGCCCAGCCTCCAAGATCTTTACATCTCCAGAGTGAGGAAAAGGGCTAAGAAAATCACCTTGTACCCCTCACACCCAGCCCACTCTCTCTTCGAACTGTTGCCTTTTGTCCGGCGCTACAGAGCACTGACCACCAGAACAGCCAGGCACAAGAACAGTTTATTTTGCGCAGGCTATATTCAGCCTGAACAATTAAACTTTCATAATTATACATCGTCCATCACAACTGACACAGAATCCAAAATTGGGTAAACTGCACACTTATAACATATCTGTATATTTATTTAAACAATTACAATGTTTTTCCTATACTTCTATTCTGTATATAGTACATTATTTAATTCAGTTTTTTCTTATATTAGTGTTATATTCCATCCCTACTATGTTATTCCTATGTACGTCTGTACTTTCTTCTGCACTGGAAGCTCCTGTCATCAAGTCAAATTCCTTGTGTGTGTAAACTTACTTGGTAATGAAGTCCTTCTGATTCTGATAAAAGTGTCATAATAGAGGGGGGCTTAGAAGTAGTAAAGTTGGTCTGTAGCATTTATAATTATCTTAATTTAACATAAAATGTAAAATATAACAAAATGTGTATGTGCATGTCAAGTTTTGCTGTTTTTGTGTACTAAAAGCTACATAAGGAAACTGAACAATGTCTTATTTCACATATAACAATAACGGGTGTACAATGTGTCATGTAAAAGGTGTGGTACAGTAATTATAATTATCAGTTTCTTAAAAACAATACAAGTCAGTGGGAGGTCCACAAAGCCATCTTCATTACAACCAGAAAAACTTCATAGCTTCATAACAGGACTACTGTAAATATCTTTTATACATCTAAAAATGTCACAAATTAGGGGTATGGTTAATCTATAGTAATTATAATTAGCTTAATTTAAGAACAATAAAACTCAAAGGGAGTTACCTAGTATGATACAAGAACACGTGTGTGCAACTCGACACAGCAGCTCTGCTCCAAAAACATCTTTTAATTTGACACAATGTTCCTAAGAATGCGACACTTCTGGTGTGTTTAGGTGTGTGTCCGACCTTACCTGTTTCCTCCCAGCGAGTCCTGCAGCAGGCGTGTGAGTTTGGAGTCTCTGTAAGGCACATGGCCTGCCTTCTTACTCTGATCTCCCAATGCACTGATCACATTACCCAGGGCCAGCTGCCAAACACACACACACACACACACACACAGAGAGAGAGAGAGAGAGAGAGACCCGGTCACGCTCCATCGCATGCTGCTATCTAAGATTAAAAGCTTTTAAATGGGCTCTCTCACAAATGAGTAACTAGGCTTTAAAAACAATAGAGCTCTATTGGGCTCTGAGCTCTCCGAACAATGGCTCTTCTTGGCTCTCTTCCAGTCTTTAGCTCTACTTCAGAACTCTCTCACAATGTAATTACCTTTCCTTCTCTTCATCTACTCGGACAACTTTACCCAGCAAGACAGTGAGAGTGCAGTAATGAATGTAGAAGGATGCAGAACTAATGCAACATAAATTTCGCACCTTAGTTAACATGGATAAACTTGACTCAGTTGAAAAAAAAACTAATCACAATTATAATGAAGTCTAGGACTTTGAAAATCCCTGACAAAGTCAGTTTTGTGGTGTTGAGGTGTTGGCTTAGTTCTGAGAACTTTCTCGAGTGTCATGGTTAAAGGGACTGGTAACTTAAAGAGTTAGTTCACCCAAAAATTACCATATTTAAAACATAATAATCAATTTAATCTAGCTTGCGCTCACTGTCGTACACAGAAGCAGCTCCGGGCGGATAACGTAGGACGTCGGCGTTGCTCATGCGCCACTCAGAAGTGACGAACGCGGAAACGCAGGGGAGAGATCAAAACAAAACAACGGTCACGAATTAGAAGTACAAAACGAGGATTTGTAAAGAAGAAAGTCGGAGGATTTCAATATAAGCCAAGAGGAGACTGGTTTTCCTTTGCTAAAGTAAGGAAACTTTGCTTTCTTTGCTCCTGTAAACAAACGTTGGTTTTCACAAGACTCACCGGCGCAAGCGCAACGCTAACATCTTACGTCATCCGCCCGGAGCTGCTTCTTTTAATGGATGGATGCGCTTTATTTCACTTCTTTTGGACTGATGAACTGCAACACCCGCTGACTGCCATTAAACAGCTTGGAAGATCAAAGTCAATTTTAATATAACTCCGACTGGATTCATCTGAAAGGAGGAAGTCATAGATGCCTAGGATGGCTTGAGGGTGAGTAAATAATGGGCTAATTTTCATTTTTGGGTGAACTATCCCTTTAATGTCAATATAGTCATGATCTAAAAAAACAAGTCTGGAAACATCTACTTGTTTATTATTTTCTTAATTAATTAATTAATTATATCTATAATTATTTTAATATTTTCCACATTTTATTTGAACATAAATATAGTTTAAATAAATTATTATTATTATTATTAATAATAATACTCAAATCATCAAACCTATGAAGCAACAAATGAAAGTATGGGAATCATATATTGACCGAAAATAAAACCATTTAAACAATCCTATATTTTAGCATTTTGAAAATTGCCAGCATTTGACTAGACATAAAACAAAATTTTATATAAACACATTTGTATTTACTATTAATTTACTTATTAAACTTATATTTGCAAACAAAATATAATAAAATGTACAGCGGGTAAAAAAAACACATCATTGAACACATCACCATTTTTCTCAGTAAATATATTTCTAAAGGTGCTGCTGACAGGAAATTTTCACCAGATGTCGGTAACAATCCAAGTAATCCATACATACAAAGAAAGAAAGACAAATATGTTCAGAAATTAAGTTCCGTGTAATAAAGTGGAATGACACAGGGGAAAAGTATTAAACGCATGAAGAAAGGGAGGTGCAAGAAGGCATGGAAAGCAAAGACACCAGCAGAAATCTATCAGTAATTAGAAAGCAATCCTGCCCCTAGTCAGTGGAAATTAATATTAGTTGGTTCAGTCCCAACTGATGGCCTATAAAAAGGTGTCTCATGACCAACATGTCACAAAAGAAACATTTTATGATGGGTAAAAGCAAAAAGCTTTCAAGACCTTCGCAACCTTATTGTTGCAAAACATACTGATGGCATTGGTTACAGAA